TCCTCCTTGGCATGTTCTTCTTCGCTTCTTCCCTTCGTTTAGTTTGCTCTGTTGTTTCTTTCGTCTTTTATGCCTGGTTTTGTCTGGGCTTGCTTTTCTTCATGTTCTCTTGTTTTACTTTCCATGCTTGGTTGCCTTTTCTCCTTCTGTTCTGCCTGTACTTCGATCTTTCCCTCCGCTCTTGTGCTGCCTTTCTTTTTACATTTCTTCATCCCTTGCTCCCTCCCATTACCTTTTCGCTTTCTCCCTCGATTCTCTCCCTCTCCACCCCTTCCTGTTTCATTGCTTTCTTGTACCAACTCTTTCCCCTTGCAATTTGCTGTTTCTATTTCATCTCCTCTTCGCCACAGAGCTCCCTTTACTTCTCATTTCCTATGTATGCTTGTATGTTTGCTTGTTCAGTCTTGATCCGTCACTTGCTTCGTTACTACTTGCTCCTCCCTCACTCCTTGCATTTCAAGTTCCATATACACCGCGCCTATCCCAATGTCACATCAACATGAAATCGATACAACCACCGAGTATCAAATGGCATCTAGAGGCTGGCATGGGCATTGATAGAAACTCATCAAGTACAGTGACATTAAATTATTGCATCAAACTGTGCTACGAGTTTGTTGGTCTTCTGCACGTGCGTTTTGAATTCGGGAGAACATGCTTTGATTTCAATAGCATTTGTTCGTCCATCTCAACACCCAAATCATAGCTTCCCATTTAACATCACACACAAGGCGATGATCACACACAAGGTTGTGCAATACACACAAGGTTATGCCTCCATGCGATGATTTTGCCGTGTCCATGGCCATTGCGCCTTCCGTCGTACTACTCTATTAGAGTTTCAGATTAGACGATCCGCCATATGCGCCGAGCTCTTCGTGTCCTTGCATATTCTTTGTGACGCGCATTGACTGAATCGTCTTCAGCCTTCAACCTGTACCTACCAACCAGCTGTCATCTTACAAATTCCTCCCATCTCCAGGCAGCGACCCCAGTATGCCCTTGCATGTCAGTTTTGATGATCAATCGACCACTTTGAGGAGCTAACTATCGCTTGCCTGCATGTTGTTCTACTTCCACCGCCCCGTCCCTTGTGAGCTGTCCTGACCTCCTGCCTGCCCCCCTATGGCAACTCGCTCCCCACCCCCACCATTCTTCTCTTTCTTTTTTCTTTTTATGAGATATGCCGTGCCGCGACTACCCCACCCTCCTTCCCCCGACAACTTGAGCTGTTAAGAGTAATTGCACCCACCCCCTCCTATCCCGCATATCACCTCCATGAACAGGTGCGATCCTCAGATATTGGGAATTGTGCCTTGCAAATAACCCCACCCACGTATTCATTGCTGACCCCACCCCCACCCTATTCCCCTCAGAAGTCAAAGTGTTTCACCCACCCCCTTGAAGGCGTTCGCAACGGACAGGTAGTAAAATCGCCTTGATTCCTACCCACGTGGTCGGAACCCTCACCCCACCCCTCTGAGGCCATGCCTAAAACTGGTAGTTTTAAGCACCCCACCATGTTCTTACACCTACCCCTTGCACACCCAAACTCACTACCCCGGACATACTACCCCCACCCACTATTTAGTACAACAAATACCCCTACTCCTCGGCCTCCTCGTGCCCTGGCTTTAATTAAAATACCCAGGGCAGGTAACGTCGTCGGCATGCGAGCACCAAGAATTGAAAGCCGCGCGCGGGGATGGCGGATAGTTTTGAAGACGATCTTTGAGGAGGAGGAAGGCGTTGGCATGGATTTTCTGTATTGATTGTGCAAGAAGCAGGGTATCAGCAACGGCGCGTGGTGAAGCGAGGAGCTCCTGGATGAATGAAATTGCGACTTGACGGGACTGTTAAGTGAATTCCAAACAAGGAAGATGAATCAGGAAGACCCGAACGCTCGCAAGAGGAACGTACTCAATGATGAGATAGCACACTACATATACTCTTGCCGCGCTCAAGGCTCTGCGAAGCCGCTCGTCTCCAGCAGCGAGTTATCCCTTCGCTATGGCATCACACCAAAGGCAATCCGAGACATCTGGAGGAGGAGGACCTGGGTGCAAGCTACACAGTCGCTCTGGACGAGGGCTGAAAGAGATGACTACAACAGGAGAGAGCACAGTGAGGCGATGTCGTCCGACTCCAAGGGTAGGGATAGCAGGGGAGGAGCCAAAACGAGCAAAAGAGAGACTACGGTGCAGGTAGAAATCCGTCCTGTGTCGGGAGCGGCGTCATGGCAAGGATCTGTACAAGACGAAGTCTCCAAGTCCAAGGCGCCGTCAGAGCTAGGAGGAGGCGTGCCTGACAGCACGAGCAGGGATACTTCGCAAGCGGAGGGAACACGCGAGAACTCGTGGAACGAGGGGTGGCTCACTGACACCAGTATCATCAGCAAGTTCCTGGAGCCCTAGATTCAAACTGAAACGGACGGAGCGGTGCAAGTGTAAGGAAAGCTGAGATCGATGCTGGATGTCCCGTGGAGAAATCAACTCACCCTGCCACCTCAAGGTTACCTTGCTCTCGAACACAGGTTGGCACTCGCAGGCCGATCGGACTCGACAAGGAACGAAGATAGTGTATACTTATGAACCCGGTCAACCTTCCAAAACACGGGGTGGATCGTGGGCAGAACGCTAGCTCCTAGAGCCAAACGTGCGTCGTTGATGCTACACACGTGCCATTGCTACTCTGGAACAAACAGGTCGCTCTCCTTGAGCAACATCATTGTTGTCTCAATTGCTTGCTTGTATGATGGAGCCGTGTTATCTGAATATGCCCGATGGATTTCGCTCAGGACGTCAACGAGCAAGTGCGAAGCAAGTGCGAGTCAAGTGCTGCTGGCTGATGCAGCTGATGTTATCCGGCTGTGGTTGGGTGCGTGTCGACAACGAGGATCGTTGAATATCGCGCAATGAAGTTGGTAGAATAAGTGAACGTGGAAGTTTACCCAGCGCAGTGAGAGTTTTGCAACAGAAGAGGCGGTTTGATGTAGAAAGTCAAAAAGATGCATCAATACAGGAAAGACGAAGGAGGATGGCAATGATAAGAAACAACATGAATGCACGAAACTGGATAGATAAACTTGTTTTGATTGTTTCCTTTGGACCTGATCCGTTTAGTTGATCTACAACTGTTTTTCTCGCTTCATTTCATCATCCTTTGTCCGTTTAATTCCGTCCGTAGCGTAAGAACAAATGATGGAGCCTGCTAGAATGACTTTCTGTCGGTCATGTGGAGACGCACAGAGATTTTGTGATGGTCTTGCTCTAAGAACAGGAAAGTTGCAACGGCATCGTCTCGAATTCTCTGCAAACACGTGCAGAAGGAATTCGATGCAATTTCAATTTCAAGAGGCTTCTTGTAGCATTCATGCAGGTTGCTGGGCTGCCTGGTTTCGTTTTCTCGTCAGGAGGATGGAGGGGTTGTCCTGTTCTTCTGTTCGGTTCCAAGCGCTGCCGATGGAGGCGCTTGCTCGTAAAACTGGCCAATGACGATGCTTGTTGTTGGTGTACCCTTCCATACAGCATGCTCGAGCGAAAGCCTTGGCTTATCAACATGCTGTGTCCGGATTCGT